TAAATGTCAGAACATTCCAAGAATAATTAATAGCTTGCAAGTTTTTTTTTATAGCAGTAATAAATTCTGGTTTTATATTTGTGCCCTTGCTTTGATATAGTTGAAAATGTCTAATGGTATGATAAAATATGTGTGTTTATTAAAACATATAAAGTATGTATATTCTGAACAATGAATTTATGTATTTCAGCCAACATGGACTATATGAACACAGATTCCCCTTCAACATCTTAAGTAGGATTAAATGCAAGCATCAGTTTTGTGCTGCTGTAGAGTGTCTGATCCTTTCCTCTTGCTACTGAGAAGTAGCCCTTAGCAGGTTGCATTTCCATGTTTTAAGACTGCAATGTCATAACGAGAAAGTTGCTTTTAGTGATTTTCAAGTTTTTTAAAGACTCCTTTTTAAAAGTCCAAAAACCCTTGGGTCAGTGCCTCTAATGGCATTTTCAGCCTAATTCTAAACCAGATTTTTCTTTCTTTTCTGGCTCAAAAGAAGAGCGACCTTGTTAACCAGTTCTTTTAGTTATTAGTCAGTGCCCTAAAATGTCCTTCATTGCATAGCATAACTTGGGTTTGTTTGTTTGTTTGTTTATTTATTTATTGTGAAAGCTCGTTTGTATAGCCACCGACTTTCCTTGTAGGTACAGCCTAGGTATTTCTAGAAAGCTTTTAACCTTGTGGTAAACTTCATATCCCCATTCTCCCCCTTAATACACTGTTTTTTTTAGCAAAGCTATTTTTCTTTCCCCTGGCTTTGTAGTTCCCTGTTCATAGCAAGCTCTTAATAAATATTTATCGACTGGAATTGAATTTGAGCTGCTGAGAAGTCACAGTCTTGGGGTAGGGTTATTCATTTTGGGCAGGAGCGGTCCTAAGTCAACTGAGTTTAGTAGTCCAGCTGATGAACTGCTCAGCTCCAGCAGGTCTACCTTCTCCCGTGCAAACATTGAAGACAGGGTGGCCTTCCGACCCCTGATGCAACACAGATCCCAGCCCCTTTCAGGTCTTCTGTACTGTGTATGCAACAGCCTTCCTGTGTTCCCTCCCTTTTGCACAACTGCATGAATCCCTGTCTTTATCCAGGCGTCTCTTAAGCCTTTCCATAATGATTCACCTGGAATATTCCTTTCTGCAAATTTAGGCATGCTTTTCTTGATGCTCTTGGGAATATGCCTTAGCTGCTGTTTTTCTCTTCTAGAGCTTTGTTCATACATCGTCACACCACAGTTCTGAATTCTTTAACTCTTTTTTACACCACCAGCTTTTCCCTCTAGAAAAACTCCAGAAGGACATGTCTGTGACTTAATTCTTTTGTCTTCCCCTCTGGCCCAAACAGTGCCTGGCATGTATACTTACTTTCTTTGAATAACAAATGGTCCTTGAAGTTCATGTCAATTTACAAATGGAATAAAATAAAAGTGGAAACGAGTGTAGAAGGATATCATTAATTATATGCCTAATTCTAATTCAGTTGTGATATAGTTTGGAAGATGCAGGGGCCCGAGGTTCACAAGATGCAAGCTCTTTGTGTTGAATTGATGGTTTTTAAATTGTCCCTTAATCTTTGTAGTTCTTAGCTTTTTAAATCTAGTAATGAATGGATTGGATGAGATTTTTACTAAGATCCCTTCCAGCAAGTATCACATTGCTCCTAAGTTAATTATATAGAACAAGGTCTCGTTTGCCAGACTCCTTAAGGCAGGAAGTATGTTCTACTCACCCTTAATTTCCTGGCATATAGCTCAGTACCTGGTTTATGGAAGTTATTCAGAGGGTTTTGTCCTTTAATCAAGCAGTGTGTTTTCCACATGAAGTTACAGTTAAAAAAAAAAAAAGTGAGAAAAATGTCATGTAAAGAATAGTGAATTAGATATCCACAAAATGGAAAAGAATCTACTAAAAAGCAATTAATTGGAATGTCTAAAAAATATGTGGTATTTTTCATCAAGTAGTTAACAACCAAAGCAATGGAACAAATGAATTTGAAGCTGCCCTGTCCTCTCTTTACAAGTTAATAATTTATCAATCTGTGACGTTTTACAAGGACATGCTGCTTATATTCAGTTGTGTCTATTGTAAGAGCTTGAAATTCATGTGTGCTCATGGTAGCTTTCGAGAATTGAAAAATGGGAGCTGATAAAATGTGGCTCAGTGGGTAAAGATGCTTGTAGTTAAGCAGATAACCTAAATTCTATCTCTGCACCCACAAGGTGAGAGCAAAGTACTGGTTCTATCAAGTTGTTCTCTGACTTCCGCACACAAGCCATTGCACGCACGCGCAAGCACATCATTGCACATTCATACTGTGAGTGTGTGTGTTGTGTATAGTAAAAAATCAACAAATAATTAAAAAGCTGTGTCCTGGTGTAAATCATTGACATATGACCCATGGTCCTGGCAGTGAACTTCCTCTTTGTTATCTGGCAAGTTCTGTCAGCCCTTTTACTCTACAAAGGCTTGATATTATTTAATAAGGGAGATTTCATCTGTCCCTTGCCAAGAAATCTCTTGAGGATTAAGGTAGTGTTCTTATATTTAAATTAAGCCCTTACCCCTGGGTTGTTAATTGTATACCTATAGAACTCAATTATCTCAATTATGAAAATTAAGCAAATTATATAGTCAAACTATTTACACAAAGTGTGGTGTGTATGTGTGTATGTGTATACAATGATGTTTTTTTTCAGTCAATTAAACCTGTTTATTTATTAGTTGTATACTATGTGCTAAAATCTTCTGTCTTCGGAAGTGTACACAGTAGGAGAAAATATTAAGTGTATTACTGTGAAAATTGGTGTTTTTAAAGATTGATGCTTGACAGTTTAAGTCAGAGTTTTCATATATATATATATATTTGAGCTGGGTGTGGTGGGACACACCTTTAATCCCAGCATTCCAGAGGTAGAGACAGGAGGATCTCTGTGAGTTCAAGGCCAGCCTGGTCTACAAATCAAGGTCCAGGACAGCCAGGGCTGTTACATAGAGAAACCCTGTCTCAGAAACAAGCAAGCAAGCAAGCAAGCAAACAAACAAACAAATCCATGTGTGTGTGTGTGTGTGTATGTGTGTGTGTGTGTGTGTGTGTGTGTTCAGAAACAGGTATATGTTTTGTGAAACCTGAAACCATTATTATTTGGAGGGTCCCTACTATATAAGCTTAATTAGGAAGGTGAATTTTCTTTAGAGTAAAAGAAACAAACGAACAAACGAATTGGAAAATTTAAGGCTCCCAAGACTGGAGGTGTTGATGAACATGTCTCCCATGCCACGTCTTGCTCTTAGTCTCTCCTGTTACCCACATGCTCTTCCTAGCCTGGCTTCCAAGAGGCCATTTGGAGAGATTATTAGAGTGCATTTCCCTGCCCCCATGGCAGGATGGTCAGTTCTATGATACTCGTGTGTTCCAGAAGTCATACTTAAAAAAAAAAAAAATGCTCTGTTCATGAAAATTATGTATCTTTAAGGTTTATGGCACAATGTTTTGGTGTACCTGTGAAGGGAAAGAGGCACTCCAGTGACTCTAGTGGAATGAGGGACCGTGTCCGCTTTGTTTCGCAGTGAACATTTACTGTAGCAAGGTGATACTGCAGCTGTGGGCCCTGCACTTTCTGTTAGATCTCTAGACTTGGTCATCTTCCTGCCCTGCTCTGTGTGCCCTTTGACCTACTTTCCCCACGTTTTCTTCTCCTCGTTCTTTATAGCTATTCTTCAACTTGTTTCTACTTATTTCACTTCTTCAGTTTTAGATTCTGTACATAAATGAGATCACACAGTATTTTTCTCGGTCTGGTTTATTTCAGACTGCCAACCATAATTTTACTATTTATGGAAGTGACTGTATGCCTTGCATATAAACCCTCTAAGCCCATACTAAATGTCTCTCCAACTCAGCTTCCTATCAGACAGGTTCTAGACATGTCCTTTGGCCACTCCACTGCCACCCAAATGTGAGGTTCAGTTTGATGAGAAGGAAGATGACAGGATTGTTAATTTATTGCTTTTAAAATACCTTGTTCCAAAATCTTTACACAAACCAAAACCTTGCACAAAACCTAGAAGAACATGTATCTGAGGGACTCCGGGCAGGCCTTGTGCTACAGTGACTTAACAGATCCTCCTGCGGGTGGGCATGTCACGAGTGCTGCTCTCACACCTTAGTAAAGCATTATGCAATTAATTCCCAGGGATCTTCTTAAAATGCACAAATTAGTGTGTCCCCCAATACACTAGTCATAGGAACAGACTGAAGAGGCTTTTTTTTTTTTAAATGGCTAAGTCCTATTAACATGTGGAAACAAATGCAATGTAGATTTGAATGGCCACTTCTTTTTTTTTTTTTTTTTTTTTTTTTTTTTTTTTTTTTTTTTTTTCTGGTAGAAAGTGTTTTCAGTTCTGCAGGCAGCACTTACTCTTGAATGCTCCAGTGACTGGGCGGCACCTGGTGCAATGACTGAATGATATACGTCACATGTTTGTAGGCCTGGTAGAAACTGAGGGGGAAAGACTTGTTTAGACCTGACACCTGTTTAACTGCTGAGTAGCTCTGTTGTTAATGTTAAAAATTCTCCTTGGGGTTCAGAAACAATGAATCAAAATATTAATTAAAAAATTTTGATAGCCATGAATTTAATTGAGAAATAAAATCCATCGGTTGCCAGCTTTCACTAAAAAGGAGAATATTGGCTGTATAATGGCGATCACTGAGCAGGATACTGGAGTTGTGTTAAATTCTATCATTGCGACATTGTAGAAAAGAAAATCAAGGTGTCCAGAGTTGAAATGAGGATGAGATAAAGGAAAGCTGTGTGGCATAAGAGAATAGGATTTGGTTATTGTTAGAGAAAGGTATTTGTTGCTGCTTTGTAAACTGATTCAGTAATTCAGAGCACAGATTACACTGTGTAAACGAAAGGGACATGGCTCTATCCACTTATCATTTTTCTATGAGGGAAAATACTACAGTTCCCATAAAATATTTTCTTTCTTTGTTTTTAGGTAAGACTGTGCCAAAAACCCCAAACTCCAGTTGAAAAATAGCCCACCATATATACTTGACATTTTACCTGATACATATCAGCACTTACGACTTATATTGAGTAAATATGATGACAACCAGAAGCTTGTTCAACTGAGCGAGAACGAGTATTTTAAAATCTACATTGACAGTCTAATGAAGAAGTCAAAGCGAGCTATCCGGCTCTTTAAGGAAGGCAAGGAGAGAATGTATGAAGAACAGTCGCAGGACAGGTAAGCACACTTGACATATCTGCTGTTCATTATTTCCTGTTGTTTATGTTGCTTTTTATCTGAGAGTGAGCAGAAATGCAATGCCCATGTTTGGGGGACTATGTCATTTCCTTGTGTATTTACTTTTCACATTATATAAGTTTAGGTGGAAAGCAGCACCTGAGTCAATGTTCTTGCTTTTCTATAGACCACTGTTGATAGAGTAGTTTAGTTTCACAGGAAGACCACTCACATTAGTTCATCCTCCTTCCTCCTAGGCAAGTAGTCTTATCTAGTTTGTGTCTTTTGTATGGATTTTCTTTAAGACATAGGAACAAGCCTCTCTTCTACCCAGATAGGCCACTGACAGAACAAGGCAACAATTCCACCTAAGTCCAACTTGGTCAACCAGTGTGATTACTGGGGTTATGTGTAGAAGCTGAGTGATAGCAACCATGAGAGCATTAATGTGAAGTCCCACCCTAGCGTGGGTGATTGATCTGAAGCTATTTTATTATCACCCTATCTTCAATTAACCTTCCTCTTCCTATAAGCCCCCTCCTTGACTCCCCTGTGCCAAGAACCATGGGTCTAGAAGGCAGGAGAGGGTGGCAGGTGGACTATCAGGTGAGCAGCCACGAGCCTGATAAGTCATCTACTTCATTGTATGAGAAAATGTCAAAAAGCTCTATTTCTATGAATGTAGCTATCACGATATGCTTTTTTCTATTTTGTTGCCATCACTGTGGCATCAAGGTTTTCTGTAGATCATCTTAGCATATCTACTGTGTGACAGATTTGGTCACGCTCAGCCTTGAGACTGGAGCTTCAACCATAATACTGTCTTTGCATTAGTGTGGACACAGCATTGTCAACAGATCAGTATTGATCACTTTGTATTTGGGGCTACTGTTATCTACCCATACTTTAAAAAACAAAACAAAAAAAACCAAACCTCTCTTATGTATCCCAGGATGGCATTGGTGTTTTGCCTGCCTGTCTGTGTGAAGTTGTGGGACAGCCTGGAACTATAGTTATAGGTAGTTGTGAGCTACTATATGGGGTGCTGGGAATTAAACCTGGGTCCTCTAGAAAAGCAGTCAGTGCTCTTAAGTGCAGAGCTTCTCCCATGCCCACAGACTCAGACTTTCTATGCAGTCATGCCTTGCCTTGAACTCTTGATCCCCCTGCCTCCACTTTCTGATGCTACCAGGACATATCACTCTGACTTTTCCAGTCCTTGTGAGCTCTGCTGGATGAGTTCAGACACACAAAACGTAGTGTAGAAGAGAGAGGATGAGTTGGGGCAGTAGCCAAAGTAATCATTATGCCAGCCTACATTCTTAGGTAGACTTTATATTAATTAGTTCTCCAAGTTTCTAGAAATGATGGTTTTTTTGATGGGAGTTTGACAGATGGTTGACAGGCCCAGTTAAGGGGTGGGGAGAAATAACAGGTTGTCCTTTCTTTACCAGAAATTTTCCTATCTATATAGTAGTCATAGGATCATAAGGTTTTATTGACTGTTTAGAATGTCTCGTCTCCACTTGTGTCACATTCTTTGGACCAGTTAAGTCCTCCAATTGCATTTCTGGTGTTCAAGCTGCTGATTTTGAGAGAGGAGTCTCTCCTCTGTAACCTTCCAATCTGCCAATAGCTAAGTATTTACGTAAAACGGGACACTGGGCACTGGGTACCTATAGCCAGTGCCTTTTTTTGTTTGTTCTTTTTGAGACAAGGTTTCTCTATATAATAGTTCTGGCTGTCCTGAAATTCACTCTGTAGACCAGGCTGGCCTCAAACTCACAGAGATCCACCTACCTATGTCTTCCCAGTGCTGGGATTAAATGTTTATCACCACTGTCCAGTGTAGCCAGGATGCTTTATGTATGGGCGCATTGATGTTTGTTGTCTGGCTCTTTAGTTTTCCCATTTCAAGATCACTTAAGCTAGATAAGGGAATGTATAGTCTGTCCCTTTTCTGAACTACCTTAAATTAACTCCAAATATTCACTGTTAGTAAAAGTATTTCCAGCTGGAACACAAGTATGCATTAAGAGACACAGTGTTAACATTGGTTAAATTCATTTACCTCTCTGAATTTGAGTTCCTTGAATTAGGAAAACCTCTAAGAAACATGTAATGTTTCTTTTACATTAGAAAACAGAACCTCATTTGATTTGAGATGATTTAGGGTTGCATACTAGGAAATGTAATTGTTTTGGTATGGAGGCTTTGGCATTGTTTGTGAAAGCTGACCAAACAAATACACACAGCATGTAAAACCACCAAATTCAACCTCAAAATTCTTGGCATGCTAGTTAAGTTACCTTTTAATATCAGGATGCCAACAAAGTGTGTGACTCGCAGGTAGCACTTTGAGTAGGAGTAGTGTTTTAGCTGGGTATAAGATTGATGTGGTAAACTTGTGTCCCACTTTTATGTCCTCTAATGAAACTTGAAATATTTTCTAATTCAACAGACATTTTATAATTACCACCACCATTGACTGTTTTGTATTTGCACCTTTTATTGCCAAAAAATTTTTCAGGACACATATAACAGTTTTTTAATTATGTGCTGATGGGAGATGTCATTCTGTATATGTTTCTCATACTGGTTAATGAATAAAGCACTGTTGGCCAATAGGAAAGCAAGATAGGTGGGACTAGGAGACAAGGAGGAAAGAGGAAGGAGGAGTCAAGATGGAGAGTCTGGAGAGAACAGAACTGCCATTCCTCTGCTTTCAGTAAGACCACATGGAAATACATAGAAATGGGTTAATACTTAAGACAGAGCTAGCCGATAAGAAACAAGTAACTGGCCAACAGCATAATATCAAATATAGAGTCTTTGTGCCTTATTTGGGGCTGGCGCGGCAGTGGGACAAGACCAGGCAGTGGGAGGAAAAACCTTACTCCTTACAATGTGCCATGTCCCAGATAATGATAGGTCACATAAGATTGTCTTGTGTAATCTGTGTAAACTACATTTGTACCTGTGGTTTAAGTATCCAAGTAAATTTAATTATTATGTCTTAATAGACAACTGTATGAGGAAATATATTAGTTTGTATGGTGGGATAGCATATTCCCTTGTTGGATTTTCTGTCATCTGTGGCCTCTTTCTTATGGTCTTTAGCCAACTGTTTTTAAAAGTACAAATTCTGTTCTAGATAATTGTCAAATGATGATTTATAATGTATCATTGGCATAGGTACCAAGGACTTAGACTTCTTTGATTTGTGTTTCTCTCAGAGTATATAATTGTGTGCACTTACTGCTGAGAGTCCATGGAGTCTAAATCCAAATTTATTTGAGATGCATTATTGCACGTTTTTAGTAGCTTTGGAGACCAGCTCTCAAGGCTACTCCCAGGGTTGGAAGAAAAACTCCACAGCAAAGCGAAACTGAACTTAGGGTTTTTTTTTTTAATCTAAGGGTTCCATAATAAATTTACACAAACATGCTATTCGAGTCATGTTCTTTATTCTTCTGGATTTCTAACTCCTTCTGAGTTCTAATTCTTTCTAGTTCTTTGTTTCAATTTTATGTTTCAATTCTTCCTTGTTTCTCTGTTCTCTTAGCTTAAATACTTTTTTTTTTTTTTTTTTTTTTTTTTAAACAGAATGCTTGAGGCAGTAAGAAAAAGAGTTACATCTCATTGGCCATACACATTCCTTGGGTAAATGATAAGGAACCAAGCCATTACCATGGCAACACATGGTTTCAATGTTCCAGGTGTAAGACTGTGACCAGAGGCCAGGGGCACAGTGCCTGGGTGAGACAAGCTACATAGAGATCTACACAGTCAGGTCTTATCAGCCATATTTGGGAAGCAAAGAATTGGCTTGGTTTTTTTAAGGTTGCTTTGAGTTAATAGCCTTGGTAGACCTCTGTAACTCTGACCTTGTGCATATCTATAAAGGTTTTAACTTATGATCCATATACAGAAACATTCAGTCTAGTTTGAATTTGCCCTAAGGTAAAAATGAGCTAATTGTGTAACTCACCTTAGACTGGGGAGACTTGTGTTAGTCTGAGTAAAGGGAACAAAGCAGGCTTTTAAGTGTCTTACAGTCCTCATGGGACAATAGATCTAGTTATGAAGCAAATCCTAATATATTTTCTACATATCAAAATTATATAGGTTAATGAGGATCCATCTTCCTAATCATCCAGAGATATATTGTGCCCATAAGATTGAGATGTAATCGTGAGATTACATGTACATGTCACATGAGATTACATACAATGCAGGTATTGGGGAGACATCATAGCTGCTTTTGCACATATGAAATTACAGAGAGGAGCAACAGTTTCTTGAGTCATTGATCCCACGGGGCCTTGCTCAGATGGGATTTTCCACCACAGAACCATTCCTCTGGTGGGTTGAGATCTGAACATCAGTTGTCACCTGCTGCAACTCCCATGGCCTCCAACAGCATATGAAGCTTTGTGGTATTTTGCTGTGTAGAACCTTATAGAAAGAAACTTCTGAGAATGTTCTTATGGAAGTTTGGCCTCTGACTGTGCTGTTCAGTAGAATGATCATTGATCATGTCAGACATGCTGGTTATTTTCTTATGGAAGTTTGTTGGCCTCTGTGCTGTTCAGTAGAATGATCATTGATTGTGTCAGACATGCTGGTTACTGGGAATCATAAGTCCTCTGAACTGTCTTTTCTTTGGTTCTGAAATGGCTCACTGAGAAGAGAAATATTATTTAGTAGATAATGAAGAACAATAGTAGAAATAGTCAACAACTTATCAAGCATTGCTTTATTGGATAAAGTTGTGTTGGATGAGTGTATGTGTCAAAATGTTTAATGTCCATGTATCTGATGTGTCAAGAATGTACTTCTTTTTGGTTTTATTTTAAAATTATATGTAAATAAAAACAGAAAACTTTGGGGCTCAGTTGTGAAATTGGAGCTGTCCCAGTTGGCTGCCAAAGAGCAAGTGGTTTGATTTGTTAAAGCAATTATTGCTAATGTGATATACATGCAGTGTAAAATGTATA